TGTCTTGTAGAGCCGTTTTGATCCTCCTGGAGACAGCCAACTTATCTTCCTCAGGGACACATAGACTACAGGAACTGTTCCTTCCTTCTAATGTTTAACTTCTTCAGTTGATAGAATTATATTTATAGAGCATCTAACTGTGAGACAAGTGCCTCAGTAAGTGACTCATCCTGTACTTTTCCTTCTCCCCATCCCCTCCGCCATCTCAAACGGTCACCAAATCCTGTAAATTTCAAATCCTTCATATATGTTGGATCTACCATTTCTTCTCCATTGTCACTACTTTTTAGATTGTTACCATTTCCCTTCTGAACTACTGAAATAGCCTCACAACCGGTAATTATCCTTGTTCCAAACCATCCTCCGTAACATTTCTCAAGCAATTTTTAAAAAGGCCAAATCGGTTGCTTCCTGTTTAAAATTCACCAACAGTCTCCGTTTTCTTTTTGAATATCCTCTAGTCTCCTTGCAGACTATAATCTGGCCACTTATCTTTTCCTCTTCAGCCACCATGAGTTTCAAAGATAATAGTCCATCTGAAGTCCCCCAAACATACCTCAGGCGATGGGGAGACTACTCATCTTGAGGCTGCTGGAGACATTCCTCAGGGTGTCTCTGTGCTGTTTCTCAGTTTCTTTTCCCAATCCTGGTTGCCCTGTCCCCTGACTCATGGCCAACTCCTATCAGTTTGTTCATAGGAAACCAGTAGGCAGTTTGTGCTGAGATGATTAAGTATGCCATCATGTTGACTTAATTTTTCTTTTTGGTGAGGATCTCCAGTAAAAGACAATATGAATCTCTTATTACCTCCCAAAGTACTGTCTACTGTCTTCCTTTATTACCAAGTGTCTTAGAGCCTTATTTATAGGCTTTATAATCAAGGAAGTCATCACCAGAAATATATATTCTTTTCAGAGTTGTGAATTTTAGGTTGACTCTAAATCTAAGGCTGATCAGATTTTCTCCCTTCCAGATACGAGCATCTTACAAAATATTAAGTGGACAAATATAGAAACAATGCAGGACTGCTTGAGGGGAAGTCAAATACCATTAGACAGAAAGTTCCAAAAATAACGTCTTCTAATAAACGTAATATATAGATGTTTCACTGATGTATTATGTTTTTATTTTTTCAACAATTTTTCTTTCTTTTTTATATGTATTTTAGCTAATCTGTGAAACTAGGGACCATTCCTTATTTTTGGTTTTGCACAGCGCTTTGGATATAGTAGGCTTTCAGTAAATGTTGAATAGAAATCCTTGTATCTTTTGTCCAGTGACAACGTGCAAGGTCTAGAGTATTTCATTTAACTGTTATAAGAATGGATTCTTTATGTGAAAAAAAATGAATAATAAATGAGATCGATGAATTTTGAATAGGAGTTCTGGAATCTTTTGATGTCTCAGTGGCAGCTGTGGATGGTGATAGCAAAGGCCAATTAACAGAGCTTGGGGCTTCCAACCTGAAGTTCAAATAGAGCACCTCTACTTTTGTCTATTTCATTTATTTATTGATAGCATTTAGTTTAAAACATAGGACACATTTTAAAATCTCACACCCATTACCATTGTAATCTACTGAAAGTGATGATTTTATCATTTCCTCTCACCTACAAAATGTTCTGATTCAATAGCCAGTTTCCAAGCAATTAATGGATTTGAAAGTACTGAGGATTTTTGTTGTTGTTGTTTTGTTTTTAACATTTAAGGTTTATTAATCTGGGGTGTCTATAAATTTGCCAAGGGCAAAGCTGTATTCTATTTTTACTAACCTCTAATTCATACTCAGTACGTCCTGTGTTGTCTTTATCACCAGTAGAAAATTATAAATTTTTTTAATATGACACTGCATTAGTAGAAAATACCTCAAATGAGCATTTGTGGTCATCAATACACTGAAATGACAGTATTATCAGACCTCTCTGGATTTTGGTATGTACTCTGGTAATAAAGCATATATATATATTACTTTCTCACAAATTTGTTTTAAAAAATATTTTGGTGACTATATTTCAGTATGATTGATTTCTTTTATAATTACTTTAAAACAAAATTTGTGCCCTTAAAAGTATTCTAAGGAGAGAGTTCTATGGAGAAGGGGGACCAATAACCGAAAGAAATGCTAAAAAGCATTGCTTTAGACAGTGCCACAGCTCATTATTATTATGGGATTAGCAGGTATGTTGGCACAGAGGCTTTCCACGCCTGGAAGCGCTAGACCTCAGCAGCTGTACCTGTTTGGCCAAGATTAGCGTCATTCACTATGTGCCTTAACATTCAACTTATGTGGAGCACAGCATTCTGGAAGATCATAACCAAATCAGCCTCGAACAAGAAACCGTGCTTTGGTATTCTTATCGTTTGTTCTGTTCGTTTATTTTCCTTGTGATAACTTTGCATTAATTCAGAATTTCGATGCTTTACTGAGATTTCTGTTCCTGCCTGGGGCTGTTCACTTGCTTTTCTAATACCATGACTTTCCTTGGTGATGCATCCCTTTCCTACCATGAGTTTGTGTGGTTAGAATAGGCCAGTCCCACCTACATGCACGATGCTGGGCACCAAATGGGATCGGTTCCACTTGGTGACATTGATGGACACGGGGACGCAATGAACTGATGTGACACAACTGTGGAATTTTACTATGGAAAGAGTACACTTCCTGCTCTGGCTTCAAAGACAGAAGAATGCAAGCCAAGCGCTTGAAGCTCCTCTTCCCTCCTAGGAGAAAGAAGCTGCCTGAGAATAGAGTGGACACAGAAGATAACAAATAAGAGACAGGAAAGGAAACCCTCAGGCCCCCAAACAAGGTTAAAACATTCCTGAAGTCAATTCTACCCCTGGGTTCTTCAACACTGGGAGCCTGTTAAGGAGGTCATTGAGAGGACGTGACCTCCGTTTGACCTGAGAGCTGAACTAGGTGGTAGGAGGCTCCTCACTCCTCCCTGTCCTTGGAATGCGGGTTACAATCACCACTCCTGCCCTGGGAGCCATTTCAAGGATACAGCTCTCAGAGAGGACTGTGCTATTGACATCCTCGGACTGTAGACATGACTGAACCCAGGTAAGGCCTTTATGTAAACTTGTAAGATTCTGGCAGGCAATGGGGAGCCTACTCATCTTGAGGCTGCTGGAGACAAACCTCATGTGTAAGTTCCCTTGCTTATTAAACCCGCCGCCTACAAATCTGTAGTGTCCCTCCCTCTTTCTTGGGCTCTCCTTGCCATCCCTGTCCAGGGGAAGTTTGTGAACCAACAGAATCACCGAATCTCTCTCTAGCTTTAGCCATTTTTAGTTGGCTTATATCAAAAAGAACAATGATCTCTGTAAAGTTTATAATAAAAATTTAGTAACTTGGTGTCTTTAAAAGGAAATGATTGAATAATTTTATGACATCATTCTTTTGTTAGATAAGTCACCGAGGATAGTATAACTGGCCTTGTTTGATCTTTGGGATATAACCCCCTACACGTACTTGATGTATACAGCAACCATTTTACCAAGGAGTAAATAAATATAAACAACTTCCAATAAGATCTCATTTACCTACATTTATAGAGAAAAATAGTGTTATAATTTCAGTTTGTTGAACTCCCAAATCTTTTTTTTTTTTTCATTATGCATTCTGAAACCAAAATATGTTATAAATTCTCTCTAGTGTAAAATAAATGTGGACAATTGGACTCAACTATTTTTCCTCTGTGGACAAAATGCTTCTGTCTCATCTCAAGATACTAGCTTCTTCACACCTGCATTTTCTTAATTTCTTGCTGACACAGCATTGTGTATGTCCAAGCATCCATTACAGAAAGATCTCAGATGTTTTAAAAGTGGAAGCCTCAGGAGGCCCCAATGGACATGATGTGCTCTAGGTTCTTGTGAACAAGAACACGTTGTAGATACAGGATCATTCTAATCCATCTGGGCTGCTATAACGAAATACAACAGTCTGGTCACCATAAACCACAGAAATTTATTTTTCACAGTTCTGGAGACTAGAAGTCCAACACCAATGCGTGGTCACATTCTCACAAAGGCCCTCTTCCCAGTTCATAGCTGGTGACTTCCTGCTGTGTCCTCCCTGGTGGAAGGAGCAAGGGATCCCTCTGGAGCCTCATTCACGATGGTTCCACCCTGACAACTTAAGCACCTCCTCAAGACTCTACCTATAAATGTAATCATTTTGAGGGTTAGAATGTCCACGTGTAAATTTGTAGGGAGACATAAATATTCAGACCACAGCAATGCCTCTTACTGAAGCTGGGAGAAACACAGTTGTCAAGTGACTACAAGTGGCTTACCTTTCCAGTGGAGCAGGGAATTTTTGCATCGCTGCAAGGAGTCATTTCTTACACTGATACTGTGTCGGGGGACTTTGGGGAACAGCAGCTGAAACACTACAACCTTAAAGCATACTGGAGCATGTGGCACATGTAGAGAACATGTCTTGTTTGGGAAGATGAGGCACACCAGTTTGATTCTAGTGGAACCTGAATTCCCTATACATTTGCCTGGGCTGCTTATCACCTTTCTCCTTTTCCACATTCTCAGATGACCTAAACTTGCTGTCATGAGGTTAATTAATGAAGTGGAAACTGAGGATACTCCAGTGTGTAGGAAACCTGGGGGTTATAGTTGAGAGGCTTTTACACAATTTACTATTCTACTGGAAGGAAAAAAAAAAAAAAAAAACCTTTCTCATGAATGTGCTGAGCATGTATCATTTCTTAGCATCTGGCTTGTGGGTTTTTCTTGGAAGCATAATAGCCGAGATTAGTATGCTCAGAAGAAAATAATTGAATTTGGACATAATTAGGAAAGTTCACAGCTCAGGAAAGATTGGGGAGGAAATGGTGACAAAGGAAGCTGACTTGACTCAGTAATGCTTTCGGGAAGCAAGGGCAGAAGCTGAAGCCTTATCTGCACAGTTACTGTTAAGAAGGTGGCTGCAGTTAACACGTCTGCCTTTCTTGCAGGTGAATAACTCCAGGTTGTCCAGCATGATAGTCTTCATTTTCCTTGGTAAGTGAATCATGCTTCTAGTTTACCTGGATCCATAGCACTGTTTCTTCATGAACTGAATGCCATCTTATCTGACTTGACTGTTGATTAAACTAATGGGCTTGTAATAGGAAGTCTCAATTTTCAGTGTATACTTTAACACGGTTTCTTACTTTCTCAAAATTGTACACTTACTCATTTATAACTCTGTAGAAAATGCACAATGCAGGGATTGCATTCATCTCTCAGATTGTTTGCATTTTATTATATGGGATAATCCAGTTACCTAGGATTTATGGAATTCACATAGATAGTAGAGCCTTTGAGAAATGAAACCTTCCAGTATCTATTTACAAGTTATAAGATGGCAAATTTCAAATTTATCTATTTTTCTTTGAAATTAAATTAAATGAGATTAACTTAAAGCATTCAATTCCCCGAATTTTAAAGTGTTAATATTTACTAAAAAGGATTCATTTCATAGAATAAAACAACTTAACATCCCATCAAATGCTTCACATTTTAGTTAGCTTCTGTTAGCTACAGGAAAGGTTTGTAATAATCCCTCTTGTGTTGGATAGTGTGAAGGTATCATAAAATGCTGGTGGAAAAGAATTCATTTATACTTAAAGTAGAATCCACGAAGATCTACTTGCTGTAGGTGTCATCGGACAAGCTACTGTATTTTTCTTCAGAATTTAGTAGAATCTATAAAATGAACTCAGGAAAAGAAACAGTTGTGATTATAGCTGAATATTATTCCATTCATTAAAACAGAGCCAGTATTTTTTTGTTTACACTAATAGATATTAATGAATAAAAACATAATTGTGGGCAAGAAAACAAAGAAGGTTATTCTAAATATGTTGAACATGAATCAAAAAAATTAAGGGGAGAAAGAATGGAATATTTTATGTATTTTCAGTTTTTCTTTAGTTTTAGTAATAGTTATTTCCTATGTCAAAATTTTGCTCTTGGATTTATTTTAACACTATTTGCTTATTTCCATTCATGATTATAAAGAAAACTCTGGCAAATTTTAATTTTGTAGATAAGACAGCAGTATAACAGAACACATAAAACATGTTACAACCTCATTATGGCTCCAGTTGAAAAAGCAAGGATCGCCTCTTGTTTTCAAGTTTCTGTTCTAAATTAATTTTGAGACTAGGAAGTGAATGATTTCTAACATTGTTAGGGTCGAAGCTGTACTATCTGATAGGCTTAACCTGTATTTCCCATAGTTCATTCTTAAGAATACTTGTCTAACATCACCTAAATAGGTCTAAAGGTGCGGGAAAGTTCTATCGCCAGAGGAACGTGGGGCATGGTAAATTTTTAAAATAGAACATGTCATATCATAATAAGACTTAAGAGGGTAATATTATGTGCAACATTTTTCATATTGTTACTTTAAAACAGAACTTGTTTTTCATTGAACATTTCAAGAGAATCCTTGAAAACTCCTGGATTAAATACATGGCCACAAGTTATAGTAAGGAATGACTAAGATTTTGGCAAGTTAAAGTTATTTTCATTCTTGTGGGCCAGATCACTGAGATGGTTTTCCAGTAGATTTAGTATTTCATCCTACTAGAGGGTGTGGAAAATCGTATAAAGTAAACAATCAAGTGGAACTTAAAATTTTAAATATGGAAGAAAATGAAACAGATTTGAGAAACATAACATGTAGAATTAATTAACCATCATTAGACAGAGGTACTGGTAAGGTTTTGATGATATATTCAGGATACCATCATCTATAAGTTTCCTGAAGGAGCTATTTACAAGATTCAATGATCAATGTCAAATAAAATTCCAGTTTCTTACTTTCCTTTTTTTTAATGTTTATTTATTTTTGAGAGAGAGAGAGAGAGAATGAGAGAGAGAACATGAGTAGAAGAGGGGCAGTGAGTGAGGGAGACACAGAATCTGAAGAAAGTTCCAGGCTCTTAGCTATCAGCACAGAGCTCGATGCAGACCTCGAACCCACAAACTCTGAGATCACGACCTGAGCTGAAATCAGTTGCTCAATCAACTGAGCCACTGAGTCGCCCCATAGAATTCCACTTTCTTATGAGTAGAGTCTGACATAAAATATTTCAGGGTCTTTGGCAAGCTGGATTCAAACAAGTAACTTTGGGCCAGAACCGAAGGAGCTCTCTTTCTCTTTCTCATTGGTTAAATGAGCTTAACAATGAACACATGACAAAACAGAAGGCTGATATGTCAATTTTCACTCCAGCCCTCAACAAGAAAAATGTGACTGAGCCACACCCTTGGGCCTAATCTCCAAATGCAGTGACCCAGCAAGTAGTACATATGATCCATCCAATGAGTTGTCTTGGATTCTCCTTAGGAGAAGAGGTTTGAAAAGAGGTAAGATAAAGAAAAGATTTTAGGCTTTACTTGAAGCCCATAACTCTGCATTGTCACAGGCAATTCATAATTAGCATCATCTTTTTAAAAATTCAATTAATTTGACTCTAAGACCTACTTTGAGATCTCCTGATTATAATTAATATATTGTTTCTGTAACTCGATTGCTCTTCCCATATTTTTCTATGGATTGATCCAGCAAGTGTCGCTTGGCATGCTTGCAGAATCAATTCAAATAATTTATACATTATACTAAATTAGCATCACTATGTTTTTGATATTTTTAGAAAACTTACTGGAAACTTCTCCTCTACCCAACATAACTTGTAAATATCTGGAAGGTATTATTTTTATTATAGTATTATAGTATTACTTATTTATAACTTCTTTTTTTTTAAGTTTATTTATTTTCAGAGAGAGAGAGACAGCATGAGTGGGGGAGGAGCAGAGAGAGAGGGAGAGGGAGAATCCCAAGGAGGTTCCATGCTGTCAGCACAGAGTCCAATGAAAGGATTCATTTCATGAACTGCAAAATCAAGACCAGAGCTGAGATCAAGAGTCAGATGCTTAGGGACGCCTGGGTGGCGCAGTTGGTTAAGCGTCCGGCTTCAGCCAGGTCACAATCTCACGGTCCGTGAGTTCGAGCCCCACGTCAGGCTCTGGGCTGATGGCTCGGAGCCTGGAGCCTATTTCCGATTCTGTGTCTCCCTCTCTCTCTGTCCCTCCCCCGTTCATGCTCTGTCTCTCTCTGTCCCAAAAATAAATAAAAACGTTGAAAAAAAAAAATTTAAGAGTCAGATGCTTAAGCGACTGAGCCACCCAGGTGCCCCTATAATTCATTCTTAAATAACTATTCAAGTTAGTGTAAGTCAACATACATACATAATGTCTCATTGTGTTTGATGATGAGGATACAATTATGAATTACCTCCAATGTCTGCCTAGTAGGACCCTAGAACCCCATGGTGGAGACAATCATATAAATACACATTTTCATTACAGAGCAGTAAAGCTATGCTTGGGGAAATCCCAGTATTCTAGTGAAACAAATAAGAGGTGTTAAATTAATTTGGATATAGGAAGAGGGTACTGAATTCAGGGAAGGATTCCATAAAATAGGTAATTATTGTGTTGAGTGTTAGAGGACAAAAAAAAAGACAGAAAGAAAGAAAGACAGAAAGACAGAAAGAAAGAAAGAAGAAAGAAAGAAAGAAAGTAAGAGAAAGAAAGAAAAGACAGAAAGAAGGAAAGAAGGAAAGAAAGAAAGAAAGCAAGCAAGCAAGCAAGCAAGAAAGAAAGAAAGAAAGAAAAGTTTCTAGGAGATAAAAAGGAGTGGCTACTAGTGAGGGTACAGTAAACACTCAGAGGTACAAGACAGCATGGAGCATCTGGGAAACTATACATGCTCAAAAATGTCTAGATTGCATATGATAAGGAATATAAGAACGATCCTATGAGGAACCATCCAAAGGTCGAAGCAGAGAAATGGCAGGATCAGGATGGTACAGTAGGCAGGTTAGGGGGTATAAAGAACCTATGTGAGTAAGATGAAACTGGAGGCAAATTGACTAATTGATGGGTTGGTCAAATATTCAAAATAAGAGTCAAGGAACTATGCACAAATGGATATAAAAGAGTGAAGTCGAGGATAAAAAAGGAGTCTGTGATGAATCAGTGGTTTCTAGTGTTGGGTGCCCATGAGAACAGTGAAATTGATGAAGCAGGGCTGTCCACCAGGGAGTGATGATGATAAAAATACACTGTAGTCTTAAAATGTATCTGGAACACTTTGGTTGAGATAACAACAAATATAACTGGAATACTGAAAAATAATGGGATTGAATTATGCTTTAGAGAATCATCAATCTAGAGGTTTTAGTTAAAACCATTAAAGTACATGGAATTGTACATAGAGAATGTGTAAAATGAGAATAGGAAACATCTGAGGATAGACATTAAGGTAAAAATACAGTTCAACAGGAAAAGACAAAGATCCTGGGAAGAGGCCTATGGTCAGAAAATATCAAATGAATAAGTATCAAGAGAACTAGAAGAGCTGGTTGCCAAAGGAAGAGAGAGTTTTAAGAACAAAATAGCAACAAAACGTGCAATGATAAAAGTAGGCAAGATGAAGTGTTAAAACTATTAAGGTTGATGTCATGGAGATGATTAGGACAGTTCAGAGAGCAGTTTCAATAGAGCAATAGTCTTAAAAATATAAATTGAGGAATAAATATGCACCAAATATGCACTCATCTAGACTCTTCATTTAAGAATGTTATAAGGGAGAAATACAGATCTGTAGTTAGGGGGGAGGTTAAGATCCATTCCAATCTTGTAATGATCTTATCAGATTATATTTTCCATAACACTGTTGTTTATCACCAGTAACTTAGTTTTGAGGTAAATAACTGTCATACTGTAATATTGCAAACACGTTCTTGTTGTTTTTGTTCTGTTCTTATTGTTATTTCAGCTATGGTGCTATGCTTGGAAAATGAATCCACTTCCCAAACCATTGATTGCACATATTTAAGAGAGCAATGCCTAAGTGATACAAATGGATGTAAACTTGCATGGAGAAAGATGGAAGATTCATGTAATGTTTCAGGTAAAATACATTATTTAATTTTTTAAGTTTATTTATGTATTTATTTTTGAGAGAGAAAAAGAGAGAGAGAGGGAGGAGGGCACAGAACGAGAGGGAGAGAGAGTGAGAATTCCAAGCAGGCTCTGCACTATCAGCACAGAGCCTGATGCAGGACTCAAACCCATGAACCATGAGATCTTGACCAGAGCTGAAGTTGGACGTTTAACCAACTGAACCACCCAAGTGCCTCAATAAAATACATTATTTAAAATACACACAAATGATTTATTTTTACTGAGGTAAAAATAGGATTTGATATTTCTTTCACTGACCTGGGAACTAAGTTAGCTTTGCTCCAAACACTTTTTTCAAACTTAATATTCAAGTGATTTACCTTCAATTGCTTATTAGCGAATGTAGTAACAAGAACTCAAGAGCCTTAATGCCCTGCGGGGAGGTTTATGCAAGATTTCAGGGTTTGTTTTACTTATCTCACCATGTACAATGTTATAATTATATGCATGCTTGTCAGAAGTATGGCAAAAATTTTTCAAATGTGTTTTTGCTTACATATTAGTATGTCAGTAATAAAATAGGAAAAAAACATTTGTGATGATCAAGAGCATTGTTATTTATTTGTATGTGTATCATACACATATTTATGTTCTTGCAACAGACATGCTATCTTCCATTCCATCTGTGTCGAGAAAAATTTAAAAAACATTTTTATTTTTAACATGTCCTACATTCCAAACATTTGAGCAGAGTCCCGAGGGTTAGAGAATATGAAGATTAGAGTTACTGTTACTTGTTTAAAAGAAAAAGAAAACATACGGAATATATCAATTCGTTGAATAAATATTGTATGGACCGTTATAGTAGGACTCCATTCACTAAAAATAGATAAACTGATTATATAGTGAGACATTATCTTAGTACTATTATCAAAAACGTTTCAAAATATTGTATTCTCATATAATTTATCATCTTGTATATTGGGTGTTATAATACTATAAAAACCTCATAAACTTTCTGGAATATTCAGTAAGAAAAATTGAAAAGGGAAAATAACAATAGATTCTTCCATGACGTACTTTCTCTATTTTGCGCAGTGTGGCATCTGTACTGCTCATGACTCTTGCCTATCTGTGTGCATCCTCTACTTCCCAAAAGACGTAAGGGGAAGTAAGTTGGGTTTAAGAGGCAGCAGCCTATAGTTCTGATGGCCACCATTTACAATCTCCACCATCGGAAGTCCTCCCCATCCCCACAACCTCAAGGAATTATATAGGATGTAGAGGAAAAGAGAATGATTTCCTTCTCCGTCCTGCTCTTGAAGGCAGTAAGTCCATAGTCCAAAGTAAGTTATAGCTGCCTAACCCAACATTCTTATTACAAGTCAGGAAAAGAATTTTAAAAGCCTAATTTGCTCTAAGTAATACAGTAATTTTAAGATGAGAATAGAAGACAGTGACAAAAAAATCTGTTATTTGTTTTGATGATGAAATTCCTTGTTACATTTTATAAAGCAATTTAAAATACTGCATTCAGTGTGTCATGAATTATAACACGTACTTCAGTATACAAATAGCAAGTCATTTTCAGTGAATTGCAGTAATATTTGCATAATTATCTCATTCATGAAGCTGAAATAGAAATATTCTCAAATACATAAATGAAATGAACTCAAGTAATTTTATTCAAAAAAATGATTAAAAGAAAATTGTTGGGTGGATGAATAGGACTTTGTAAATTAAAGCAGAAGAGGAAATATTGATAATTGTGAAAGACTCATTATTCAATAATATTTATTGAGTGCTTACAAAGTGTTAGGACCACTTCATTTCTCATGATGAATTTTGAGCCACTTGCATGTCTCTTATTATAATCTTAGAATGACATATACACTAGAAGATTATGACAAATAGTTAATAAAAATAGCTAAACTGACAAAATAGTGAAGATTATGGATCATTCTGGTCACCTCATATAAGGACAACCTTGATTATTATAGAAGAGTAAAAACTGATATTCTAAGTGGGGACAAAGTCATTTTAAAATACAGCAAGCTTTAATCCATTTTGGAAAGTAAACATTGAGGGAAAGATAGTAAAAATAGATTTTGTGCTTAAAAAGTCACTTACGTGGACATCTTGCAGCATCCCCAGGAAATCTTATTATAATAAGCCATTACTCAGGTTAATACGTTAAAAGCATTTGGGGTAGGGTGATACTTAGATTAATATCAGGAGTATTACATGTTTGTTAAAACCCAGGTAACCCCTGCAAGATGAAGGATTCATCAAACTGTAACCTGAGCATCCAGTCCTTGGTGGAAAACAATTTCCAGTTTGAAGATTGTCTCTGCACTGGTAACCTCCATTGCACTATTAACAAATTGCTTGGGAAAAAATGCATCAATGAATCAGGTAATAATATGTGGTTATATGAAATATTACAGTCATAAAAAAGAAAAGTACAGTTTCAAGATTAACCACATCTATGTAATTGGATTAATTCTCTCTCTCTCTCTTTCTCTCTCTTTCTCTCTCTTTCTCTCTCTTTTATTGGTAACTTGAACAGTTTTTTTGTGTAATACAAAGTTCTGTGAGTCATAGATCTCAGTAAGTGCCTAACGTATTTCTGTAATTGTTAACCACTATTTCAAGCTTCATCCAATCATAATTAATTAGCATTATATAGTCACTCTCTCAGTTCATATTTTTGTGAGGCTCACTATGGCTTTGCCCAAGACCTAAGTGATAGAAGACAAGTAAGGTATCATTTCTGTTGTTAAAGAACTCAGTTTCCTGAGAAAGTCCAAAATATAACCACTTGTCTGGAATTCTACTTGCCTCTGGATGGGAGCATTTAATCATTTATGCATTTATTTAGAGCTACTCAAGGTGCCGGGCTGACACTGAAGTAGTGGTACTCAAAGTAGTCTGCATGTGTCCTTGAGGATTCATAAAGATTTTCAAAGGGATATGGAGAATGAAATAGTTCTAAAACAATCAGTTTCTGGATCCTCAATGTTCTTGCATACTCTCTCTGAAAAGTGGACAGCTTGGGATTGCAGCTGTTATCATGGGGTTCTTGCCTCTTCTTTCATAATCAGCCTTCTCCCATTTTATAAGAAATAGGTTTACCTCTCATTTATCATGAATGGTCCCATTATCCCACCTCTCAAAACACTTATGGTGAGCAAACTGGCCAATTTTCTGTTCCATGCTTTTGCTTTTTCCAGAGTTTCACATAAATGGAATTAGGTAACCTTTTGGAATTAGGGAAACTTGAACCTGCCTGATTTTTTTTTTAATTTAACATCATGGATTTGAGGTTCACTAGTAGTTTTTGAACAAGTTTGTTCTCTGTTTTGAGTAGTATTCCATTGTATGGTTATCCATTCACCACTGAAAGTGGTTTGCATTGTTTCCAGATTTTTAGAGATTATAAATAAAGCTGCTATAAATATTCACATACAAGACTCCTACAAACATAAGTTTTTATTTCTCCATATTCTTGTTGGGCTATACGGTAATGTTTATGTTCAACTGTATGATAAGCTTTCATACAATATTCTAAATTTAATTTAACCATCGATGTATAAAAGTTCCACTTGCTCCACATCCTCAGTAGCACTTGATTTTGTTATTTGCTTTTATTTTGAGGCCATTCCAATATATATGTGGTAGTGTCACATTGTGGTTTTAATTTGCACTTAAATAATGTTGAACATATTTTCATGTGCTTAGGTGTCCTCTTTATACATTATTTGGTAAAGCATCTCTTTAAAATTTTGCCCTTTTTTAATTTGAGTTTTGCCTTTTTTATTGGGTTTTAAGAGTTTTTCCTCTGTGTTGAATAGGGCTTATCAGGATATGTGTTCTGTAAATGATATTTCCCTGTCTATATCTTTTATTGCTTTAAGCGTATATTTCAAAAGCAGAAGTTTGTTGTTTTTTAAAGTTTAACAATATCCAGCTTATCATTTTTTTTCTTTTATAAATAATACCTTTGCTGTTGAACCTAAGAAATCTTTATCCAACCCCAAATCACAAAGATATTCTTATATGATCTAGACATTAAGTACTTTAGGTTTTGCATTCAGGCTTATGATACACTGTAAGTTAATTTTTGTTTGTGGTGCAAACCATGGGTCAGATTCATTTATTTATTTTTTTTCTGTTTGGATATCCAGTTGTTCTACCACATTTGATAAAGGGACTACAGTTTCACCTTTCTCCAAAATCCTTTGGGCTATATATTAGTGTCTCAATTTCTAGATTGTTCTATCTTGTTCCAGCTGCCTATATTTCTGTACTTTTGCCAATACTTTCCTCTTAGCAATATTTTTTAGTTTTCAGTGTGTACTTCATACACTCTTTAAGATTTACATAAATATGCTTCACTTTTTTGATGCTGTTGTAAATGGTAACTTTTTAATATTTTAATTTCTAATCAATTATGGCTAATATATCAAAATTATATATATATGGTATATATAAGGCATATATATATACCATATATACATATATCTTATATATACACCATATATTTACATGTATCATATATATATACCATATATATACATATATCGTATATATATATATACCATATATCTTATATATATATACCATATATATACATATATCTTATATATACCACGTGTGTGTGTGTGTGTGTGTGTGTGTGTGTGTATATACACACACACACACACCTTATAGCCTGTAACTTGCTCAGCTCAGTTATTACTTCTAGTATCTTTTATTTTGTAGAATCTATAGGATTGTCTACATAGACTTAAATATTTATATCTGCAAATAGAGAGTTTTATTTCTTTCTTTCCAACCTGTAGGCCTTTATTTCTTTTCCTTGCTCTATTGTTCTGAGTAGGACCTGCAGGATAATGTTAAATAGTATTTCTCGGAGTGGCCATCCTTGCCTTTTTACCTGTCTTGGGAGAAATGCATTTAGTTTTGCACCATTAAGAATGGTTTTTGCAGGGGTGCCTGGGTGGTTCAGTCAGTTAAGTGACCAACTTCAACTCAGGTCATGATCTCACAATTCGTGGGTTCCAGCCCCTTATCAGGCTCTGTGCAGACATCTCAGAGCCTGGACCCTGGTTTGGATTCTGTGTCTCCCTCTCTCTCTCTGCCCCTCCCCAACTTGTGCTCTCTTTCTCTAAAAAATAAAATAAACATAAAAAAATGTTTTTTAAATAAAAAAAATGGATTTTGCAGTAAGTTCTTTGCAGGTTCCTCCTCCCTTTATCAGGCAGAGAAAATTCCTTCCTATATCTGGTTTGCTTAGAGATTTTATCATGAATAGATTTGCAAGTGATTTTCTGCCTCTTTTGCAATGATCATGGTTTATATTTTTAGGTTTTTTTTAATATGATGAATTATTTGTTGATTCTTAGTGTTGGTTCTAACCCTTCATTCTGAGGATATATACTATTCAGTTATGCAGTATTTATTCATTTTATATGTTGCTAGATTGAATTTGCTACTATTTTGTTGAGGGTTTTTAATCTATGTTCCTGAGGGACATTGGAATGTTGTCCTGACAGCATATTTGTCTGATTTTGTTGTCTAGATAATACTGTTTTTAATTTTAATTTTTATATTTTTTGAAAATGTTTAGAGAGAGTGTGTGTGAGCTGGGAAGGGGAAGAGAGAGAAAGAGACGTAGACAGTGAATCCAAAGCAGGCTCCAAGCTGTCAGCAGATAGCCTGACTTGGGGCTTGAACTCACGACGAACTCATGAACTGTGAGATCATGACTTGAGCAGAAATTAAAAGTCGGGCGCTAAACTGACTGAGCCACCCAGGTGCCCCTGGATAATGCTGTTTTTAAAAATGATTTCGGAAGTATTTCATCCTCTTTTTTATTCTAAAAGAGTATACAAAGAAGTAGTAGTATTTCTTCCTTAAATTTAAGGAATTAATTTAATTCAATTTAATTAATTTAATTCACTAGTGAAGATATCTGAGCAATTCTTCATTGGAAGATTTAAAAATGTTCAGCGTGTTTGTCATAGAACTGTTTACTTATTTCTTGGTGAGTTTGGTAGTTTGTGTCTTTCAGTGAACTTTTCTGTTTGTTGGATTTATGTTGAATTTTTATTTTTAGGGTTTCCATTTTACCTTTTTTCCGTATCTCTCTGCTAAGTTGTTCCTAATATTCTCAAATTGTCCTTTAAATATCTATAGGATTTATAGTAATGTCCTTTCGTTCATTCAGATGGTGGTAATTTGTGTCTTCCTCTCTTTGTCTCTCCCTGTCTCTCAGTTTTGCTCTTTATTATTTTTTGTTGCTGTTGTGTTTGACTTGACTTGAAGTTGCTCTTCATTTTCTGGTTTCTTAAGATAAAGGCTTATATCACTGATTTGATATTTTTTTCCTTCCTCCTATAAGCATTTCATTATATAAATGTCCAAGTGCTGTTTTAGTTATATTCACAAATTTTAGTATGCTATGTTTTCATTTTTATTCAATTCAAAATGGTTTCTCATTTCCCTTGTGACTTTCTCTTTGATTCATGGTTTATTTTACAATACCATTGTTGAACTTCCAAATATTTGAGGATTTCCCAGATACCTTTGTTATTTACTTTAGTTCAATTCTTAATTAAAATGGTAAGTGCTAAGTATCACCTGTACAATGTGATACATGCTAGGTGATACACACACACAGTGTTTGAAGGTATAGAGGATAAAATAATGGTGATTCAGAAGGTTCACAGAAGAAATGACAGACTTGGGGCTTTTAGGGTGAATTGGGTCGATTAAAGGGACAAAATGGATGTTCTAAACAGAGAAAATAGAATCAGGCAGAGCACATTCAAGGAGCAACAAATCCTTTGTTAAACTGGACTGTAGAATGGAGGGGTATTAGGAGATGATGCTGGGAAGAAAGCAGATGTTATAAAAAGGAGGAAGGCTGAATTTATGTATCTTTCTAAAGGGATTAGGCCTCAAACTGTTACTACAAGGGGCTATTAATGCATTTTAAACAGAGAAATGCAGAATCGGCTTTTCAAAGGGTATCCCTGGCAGGAATGCAAAAGATAGGATGGAGGGGTGGGAAAGATTCAGGCCAGGGATATCAAATAATTTGAGAGAGAGGTGATGTATGCCTAAACTAACACACTGGTGCTGAGGACTATGGAAGAAGACGTAAGTAAGTATATTTATGAATCACAATCAATAGGAACTGGTGGCAGTTGGATATGAGGAGAATGAAATGTATAAAGCTTGGCTTGGGACAGGGTACTGAGATACGCTGAGATAGGAAAGAAAGAATAAAGTACAGGATTAGGGGTAGAAGTGATGAATTATATTTTGGAGACATTGCATCTGTGGAATGCTTTGGAACATTCACATTAGGAATGTTGGCATTTTGTTTGAAGTTTTGCAAGATACAA